AATAGCGTAATGGCTTAGAAGTGATCTCGACTGTACTTCATGGAGGTTGTGGTCACCGGTAACCAGCCCAAAAAGGAATAAAACTTTTTTTATGGGTGGGCTTACAGCCCATGTTTGCGGTTATCGATATCACATTCCCTGGGTTTTTGAAGCCTTGAAAAGCCATGCTAGATTCAGAGGCGCCGTACAGTTACAGTAGATTCCCGACTGCTTTAAACGGAGAACAGTACGCGGAAATCTAAGATACCAAGCACATATACATAATTCATGTTTCTTGCAACAAGGATACTAGTAGCAGATCGCCCTTCATGCAGAACTTTAAATTAAAGTCTGAATACTTTGACATGTGTAGAGCGGTATATATTCCTAAATCTATGTTTGAGATACGAGTCAATGTAGGCTTGCGCGAGGCGAAACACAGCGAGCCATGAATCGACTTAGACTAGAAAGCTTCTAGCAAAAAATTGATTTTTTTGTGAAAATTAGAAAGTGATGTACCCCCCGAAAAGTGCCTTTGGCGCGCCTGAAAGCTGAGGTAGCTTTCAGTCAGACGTGGCGATGCTTAAATTGATTGCAATGTTATTACAAGGTACCTCAAGGAGTGCTTGAAAATTAGAAGCCGCCGTAAGTTGAGGTCGTTTGTTCATCGCGGTCTCGATTTTGCAGCTTTGTTGAGAAAGGAAGGGTCGACTGTTAGTTGTGGCCCTCAAAGTGTATGTCTGGCGGGGCGGTAAAGCCCATTTGTGAGCTGTTGTCTCCTGTGATAGGGTCGTGTATAGTGAAAGCAACTGGATATCGCAATCTTCTATGCCATAAGCCGGAAAAGTTGAAGGGCGACTTTACGTCGTGAGTGGAATGGCTAAGCTTTTTAAATACGTAGGGTGGATCATCATCGTCACGATGTGACAGTATTGCCAAGTCTGCCCTATGCTTGACGGGTCCATCGAGCAGAGCTGTAAAGCACCGGGGGGTAACTGGCAAAAGAAGGAGTTAGGTGGCCAACGTAGTCTTTTTGGTTGCAAGTTATCTCTCTTCACCTTCGACAAAAGGTTTTAGACTCACTCAGGGTATGAGCAAGGAAGTGCAAGACGCTAAGGTCACCAGCACAATATGGCTGTTTCGGAGGAGATACAGAGATTGCCATTCGTAATGACTTTACCTATCATAGAGGACAATAGCTGAGCATTTAGTGCAAGGAGAGGGACAGCTATCCCCAAGCTCCTTTCCATTCTTTGTTTATGGAATGTTACGACGTGGTGACCAGATAGATCCACCCCGTGTGTCATGCCGGTTAGAATGTGTGTCATAAAAACGATCTAGTTTCCGAGACCAGTTTCGTATTATACGACAATGACCCTTGGATGGAAAACGGATGAAAGTAACTGAATTTTTGCCTCTGCAAAGCAAAAAACGGGTTGTATTAAAAGTAAGCCTCACTAAGCACTAGCTTTTGGTTTCAGAAAGGCTATGAAAAAGGTAAATTTGTGCATGCTTCTAATTAGCTTAATGTAGCCACGATTCCGGTGTAAAATATATTCTAGTAATGGAATGCAACAGAACAGCGTAATTCTATCAATACACTCGACTTAGTTGATAATTAGTATCGACTGCTGATGAAAGACAGCGATATCCCTCAAACTATGATGAGTACTCCGAGCTGGATTCTTTTAAAGGGCTAATTATGCCACAAGGGCTGTCTGATAAAACAGCGGTTTTGAAAGCGTAGTGATGCAGCTGTTCGGTCCACATCGTGTGTATGCACAAATATATCTCGACGATATTTTCGTTTATAGTCGTGCAGAGCGTAGTCGGTTTATGTGGACAATTGTATCAAACACTTGCGAGCGGTCCTCGAGATCATTTGCTGAGATAGTCTATTTGTTGATATAAATAAGTGAGTCTCTAGCGCTGAGGAAATTCCGTCTGGAATGCATCATTTGGAAGCAGAACCTGCGAGCTTATCTATTGTAAATGAAAGTCAGTGTAGATTGACCAATGTCTCTGTCCCAAAAGGACTTAAGAAAGCCAATAACAAGCTACTTGCACAAATCTATTGTAAAATATGCTGATTTGACACAAGATTATCATAAATCTCCTAGAACACGTGTCAAAGGGTTCTGTGATGCGACGAATGAGTGTGGTCTGTAAAGCTGTGGGAGAAAGTCTCATGCATACCCTGATTCTGGTAATTCGCAAACAATTTCACGTCGTCTGTGACACATCACGTTTTGTGATAGGCTACGCATTGCATCGAGTTTATGCTAATGAGCATGAATGCATGATTAACTTTGAGTATTGCGAGCCGGTAGCTACAGAGAAAACAACTAGTTCCATAACAAGAAGTTGCTTGCAATGCGATATGCTTTACTTCGGTGTAGGGTGCGCCTTTGTTGGTTCGATGCCGTTCTTGACCGATCGAGATCATGCGTCGTAGCACAGCGACGTCGTCATCTCACTCTTGCAGAGAATGTTAAGATGATTACCCTATACCTTTGATATAACGCATAAACCGGGTCGACTTGGTGAGGTTGCGGATTTGCTTTTAGTCGCCCAGGCTAAAATAACATTGGAGACGTCGCCAACGAAACGCACAGCGTTCTAATCGGATGTAACAAGTGTTGCGCAAGTAAAGGCTTCGAAAAGCAAAATTGGATGCTGTATAGCCGAAGCGCATGTTTGCACGCCCGTACCGCTATGTCTCATTTTAATGCGTGCAGTATTTCTGCTTGACCTCCGTGACACTTGGCGTGAAGTGGTGCCCTGGAGGAGGACCTAATTTACATGATACAGCTCGAGACACAGGGCGATCTTTCAGCTGACCGCATCGGACGAGAAACGACACATTGCTTGGTGAGCAATGTGCTTTGGTGATCCAATATGTAAAAGTGGGTAAGGACATATGTGAGCACGTATGATGTATCACCTCACCCGCACCAGTCAGTCTGCCGGATTCGGCAGAGAACAGGTGATAAATAGTTACGGTCCTCATTTACAGTTTTTAAAACAATACCGGTAACGTGGTCTGTCTGGGGGGATAGTTGACTTGCTACTGTGATCGATAATGTGACCAGTGAGGATACCTCGAAAAAGAGATCTGCCAGTATTGCTTACTGGTAGTCATTGTCTCGGATAGAGTTTTGCTTTTTCAGCGAAGTTTTGGCAAACATTGTTTAAGGTTCTCAGCTATACCAGCCGCTAACGAAAAGCAAACATTTGGTCAGGCGAACGCGAGAGTCGTGCTGTGGTATATAATACACGAAGTACTCGCGCGGAGATCGCGTTGCGGGGGTAAGCTGCTCTCACTGATTGTGTTTGCCTTTTAAAAGCAGTACATGCATTTAAAAATGTTACGTTACTCACACAAATAGTTTAATCAAGCCCTGGGTAGCTTCGACATAGCGGGGAGTGACTACGGATTTTTGATGATGTTGGCGCAGGTACATTTTGTAGCTAAGTCAGCGATTATTACAACGACATTAAAGATCATGCACTCGGAGCGCAGCAATTTAGGTGAGAGCAAAGACAAATAAAAGCAGCATGGTAATGCAAGAAGAAGGTGGAATATACAGGAATAAGTTATAGGGGTAAAAGCTTTTGTAAACGCAATCTGTCACCTATGTACGCAGTGTCTGCGCTATAAAACGACCGCGCTTTGCCGGATATTCACGGTCGTAGCATAAATATATTAAATAATGCTTTGTATATTATGTACTGAATCCGAAACCTCCCAGTGCTCTGGATCCATACCATCACGAGACAGCTGACATGAAATGATTTGTTGCCGTTAAAGCAGCAAGTCTGTTCATTTCCTGTAGCTGGGCTTTCCTCTGCTCTAGAGCAGCGACATGGCTCTAAACCACTAAGGTTGCCTCAAGCCAGGCAGTGCAATGACCAAGCTCAGCATCTGGTATCTCAACATCGGACGCACGCTGTATTTTTCTGAGAGTTGACGTGCCACCACAACTGAGCGATCACGAAAGCTAGCCGTGGGATAGTCGACCTCCGCTGACACTGCTTGATGAGCCGAGGACGGTCCACCATCTCAAAAATGGTTTGAGTGATTGGTGGTTTGCCAAGGCTGTCAACAATATCTGATGAAGTAAAAAGCTTTTTTGGCCTAATAACTCGACGAGGTTTATGTATTCACGCTGGCAAGATTATCATGGTCTTGTGACCGGTGCACAATCAGCCATTATTTACCTACAGGAAACACAGGGTCGCTCGTCATAGCACGCTTCTCACTAGTGGGAGGCGACCGACCTTGTGACGATGAGGACCGTTTGTCGGTAGCAGCTATAGCAACCTCACGGAGACGAGAGGGACCGGGAACAGCAGGGTCTTGAGGTGATGGATTGTCACCTCGATGTCAGCGTCATGCCATGAGCCTTGTAAAGCATAGCATGCGACGATAATCTAGTCGGATGTCTTCGTCGTGAAAGCTGGATTGTATTCCCTCAAAATGGCTGAGGTGGTGGGTTTCCTAACTCAGTGCGCAAACTGAGTCTGATACTCAGCGGGACTAACTCTAGCATCTGATACCGAGATATATTCTTCACGGGGGGTACGGGTCTCCCTACTCCAAACGCGGACGGTAAATCTAGAGAGTATTTCTCGTGATGAACAAACGACTCCTTTGCGTCAATGGACACAGGGTTGAGCTTAATTCCAGAGACACACCGCACCTGAGCATAAAATACGCGACAACATAGTTATAAGCAGCTTGGTTTATGACAACTTTGGAGTATAGCCAGTATTTTGGCTTTCTTAGCTTGCAAGCGATCGTGGTACAGTTATAAACCAAGCTTCGTGCTTACTACCTCATCAAGGTATCGTTTCTCATCATATCATCAAGGTAAAATGATTTCTATGATCAATAACGTGAGACTTGTATGCAGCTTTTGGGAGTGTAGAAATAATTAAAAAGTATTATAAATTCCTTGTTGGAAAAAATCAAAAAGTTGCAATTTATGTCGCTCATATTTTTTATATCACATTAAGTTATGGAACGTGTGGAGCTCCGTGCGTTTCAGCGCGAAGTTCTGGAGCTTGCGCGCGAGAAGAATGTAGTGATGGTAGGAGAAACAGGTATTGGAAAGACATTCTTAGCTATTGCATTGCTATCAGAGCAGGATTATTCGGGTGATCGACGCGCGTTCTTTATGGCTCCGACGCGCCAGTTGGTAGTGCAGATCACGGCCAAGATTCGCCAAACTAGCACCTTGCGTGTAAATTCGTATTGTGGACGAACAGCTGATTTGTGGGACGCTACACAATGGGAACGAGAATTGCAACTCACTCGTGTGTTTGTGTGCACACCTGAGATCGTACGCAACGTTTTACTTAAGGGGTACGTGTCACTCAGTCGCATGAATCTACTGGTATTTGATGAATGCCATCACGTGACAAAGCGCCATCCATATGCGCAAGTAATCAAAATGTTTAATCAAGAGACATTATCATCAATGCCTCGTATCTTTGGGACCACTGCTTGTCCAACGCGTCATTGTGCCGAAAAGCTTCACGCTGAGATGAAGAAAGTGGAGTTAGACAAGAGTCAAATTGCCGAATTTGCAGCAGCTGCACCAATGATTTATGAAACGTTTCCAGTGCAACAATCGTGGGTGGAAGGGGAAAAGACTGATGGAAGTAATACAGCTTGGATTTATGAGAGTATTGAAAAGGAGCTCGCTGAAGTGAAAGCTGTGGCGGTGTTAAAAAAACTCATAAGAAAAGGAAAAAGTGACGCGGCCGCGGACCCCAAGAAGCTTGAAAAAGCAACGAAAAAATTTACGCAAAACTGCATCACTATTTACAAGAATTTGGGTCCATGGTGTTATTATCGTTTTGTCGAGATTGAAATTCATCGTTTGGCCATTGCAGCTTCTTTACTAATTACTATTCCAGGGAGTATGTTTGGGTTAGATCGAGATGCAGTCAAAACCATGTTACTATTGGCTGGTAAGAGAAGCACGTGCGACTTTGCATGTAGCGCTAAAGTTCAAAAAGTGGAAGAGATTTTGCGCACACAATTGTTTGGAGAGGAAGATGGAGTGGACGAAGTTGCTGGAGCTGAGCTAGATGACTCCGACGGTTTGGACAGCGACGATGAACCCAATAATTTGCTAGTCTCTGGTGAGAAAAATTCTACTTCTATTGAAGAGAATGAGACACAAGTGCCACGAACGAAGCGCAGCTGTTTGAATTTACAAGGAGTTGTTTTCGTGGATACTCGAACAGAATGTCGTGTATTATCGGACTTTTTCAACGATAAATTTTCAACGGAAAAAGAGACAGAAGAGTGCGAAGTGGAGCCATCGGCAGAATTGAATGGGGCAAATTCAGAAGAGATGAAAGACGAACTTTTTGCTAGCATTTTGGGGAGAGCTTCAAGAAATGATACAGCATCATTTCAAATGCCTAAAATGGAAACGATTCTGAAAAAGTTTGAGTCTGGCTCGATCCGTGTTTTGATTTCCACGGCTGTATCGGCAGAAGGAATTGACTTTCCTCAATGTGGTTTAATTGTTGTTATGGATCGTGTTGAAACTGCTCGTAAATTGATGCAGCTTAAGGGACGTGCACGCCACGAGGATGGCGTCGTGTACTACCTGGCGGAAGAAGGAGACTTGGCTCACGAAGTGTATTTTAAACAATTACTTCGTGAGGTAGAAGTCATTAACCAGCTGGAGTTTTCGAAAGAGAAAGTCGAGACTCTTTACCAGCAGCCACGCTCCATTGCAGCCGAAATGATGGGAGCTGGTGTGCATCGAATTGAAATTGAATCTACGGGTGCTGTCCTGGATCTCGACAGCAGTATCGCCTGCATCAATCAATTTTGTCAGTCCCTACCTACCCGACTATTTACAGTCAATGTAAAGCAGCTATATTCCGTTACGGAAGCTCGGTACGGTGGAAAGAGCATGTTTACTGCTGAATTAAATTTACCAATGGAGCTTGAATTGGAAACGTTTCGCAGCAATCCAATGCCTTCAAAAGCGAGTGCCCGAGCATCTGCAGCATTTAGCGCTTGCCAGAAGCTGTTAGAGCAGCATTTGATTGACGACTCACTGAACTCAATATATCGCACAAGCAAGGTGAAATCGTCGTCAAATGTGCGCGATCTCACATATTTTCTAAATCGATTGCACACGTGAGCCGCTTGATTTTGCGTTGTTAATAGGATCAAGATGGTCTGCTCACACGAGAGACGGCAAGCAATTCTGCATTAATTCCTGTACATGAATTGTCAATGCATTTGAAGAAGCATCAAGACTTATAGTTACTGTGAACAGCATTCATTTCTCTATATCTTCTCTTTCAAAGCATAAATGCAATATCCAAATTCTTTCGTCCATCGCCAAAATAGACACTGCCGTAATGTGTAGTCAAGGGACGATGAAATGTAAACGAACCAGGGTATACATAGTTAAGCAAAGTCATATAGACCCCTGTGTTGTCCTTGCAAAGGGTCCAAGCGCCGTCTAGATCTTGGAAAAGTGGATCGAGGAAGTCCCTTGCACGCACCAAACCCTCTGTGTCCTCGATGATCTGCGCTCGTTCCGGAAGATCTGGATATCGAAAGTGAAAGAAATTGTGAAGGTATAATGATTGGTCCCACGTAAGTCCATGAAATGAAGGATTGGCGATGACTTGACGCATTGGGGAGACAATGTAGGCCCCCAAAGGCACAATTGACGTAGCGTGATCAATTTCATTTACAATGTATGCGAGTCGGTCTAGTTCACAAAATGGTGTTTCGCCTTCTTCTTCGTCTCGAACATCTTCATCGTCGTCGAGTAGTAACGTCGGATCTCCTTTTAATCGTGAAGTAAGCATCGATGCCTTAGTGCTTTTGTTCTTGTTCAAGTGAGGAAATTGCTGCAATTCCGGCGATGAGTTCGTGCTGTACACATCAAGAATAGGCAATTTAGAATGAGCAAATGACTTCATAGACAGTGTAGAATGAATTGCTTACCAAAAGTAGAACTTTTTTGTAAGATAACTTTTACCAGGCATCACAGCAACAGAAATGAGATAATCTTGTGCCTCACCGGAGATACGACCCCAAAAACGTATTGACTGAAATATTTCTGTCGCGTTGCGCTTCAGCATTCCTATCTCAAGAATTGATCGCTCCTGTGGTGTCAGTGTCTGCCCAATGCAGCGACTCACGACGTCTAATTGCTCCAATTCCATGTCAGATCTTCTATCGGAGCTCTTTGCGTCGGTTAATGATCTAGTGTAACGCACATGAAGGTACCACTTTAACTCATTTTTAAACTCAGTAAACTACCATGACACCCGTGTGCTTCATCAAGGATGGCAACGACGGGCTTCATATCACCGATGCAGGTTTGAGGTGCGTTTCTCCTCAATTGCAGTGTAATTGCTATCAATTACGCTTGCATTTGCCACTTGTGCGTTTCTAAAACGCTCTGTACGCAGTTTGCCATTGATATTGACGCTTCTTCATCGATTACAGCCTTCTGCAGAGCCTTAACGAGCCTGTGGCTATTGTTTGCTTAGCAGGACAGTATCGGTGAGCTGTATTCATAACATGAAGGTGTTTACATTGGATTATGTCACTGATACAGTCGTATTTTTTGCTACCAGGACGGGCAAGAGCTTCTTTCTTAATCAACTTGCGTCCCGACCTGATGACTTACCGTGGATGAGTACTTCTGTGAAATCACTCGTTGCATCTGCAATAATCAATAAAAAGAGTGACAATGCTACAGTTAGTGGCTTCCGAGTGGGGTCCACGACCGAGTCGTGCACCAGGGGAATTTGGCTTTGGGCACCGCAGCCCCCGATTCGCAACCCAATTGGACATTTAGTATTGTTTCTTGACACAGAAGGAATGGCATCGACAGACAATGACGAAAGCTATGATACCAAGATATTTTCGTTAGGATTGCTCCTTAGCTCGTTGTTTGTTTATAATACAATTGGTGTGATCGACGAGGGGGCCATGGACCGCCTGTACCTCGTGTCTGAGCTAACGAAGCACGTTTGTATTAGTGCACACTCTAGTGCTGAATCGACCTCGAGTAAACGGCTGGATGTAAATTTTGAAGAAATAATGTTGACGAGTGACAAGTCAGAGATATCGCAAGAACTGGCGCCGCACTTCCCGCCGTTCGTGTGGTTATTGCGAGACTTTTTGCTTGATATGCAGATTGACGGCAACGACTTGACTGCGAATGAGTACCTAGAGAAGGCTCTGGATGCACGTGAAGTTAGTTTGACGGCTTCAGAGAGCACAAAAACACGTCAGATCGAGCGAAATCGCACCCGAGCGTCAATTCGTACCTTATTTCGTCATCGTGAATGTCTTACGTTAGTCCGTCCTGTGACGAATGAACGTGAGCTTCGAAATGCCGCAGAACTATCAGATTCCGAACTGCGACCAGAATTCGTGAAACAAATGTCGGTTGTTCGCCATCGTTTGCTCTCATCGGTGGCTGCAAAGAAGCTACTAGGCAAGACACTAAATGGTCCGCAAGTTGCTCATCTTGCACAGTGCTACGTTAAATCAATTAATAATGGTGCTGTTCCGGACATCAAAGCTGCATCAGAGTACGTATCTGATGCTACCTGCCAGGCTGCACTGGCCGCAGCCATCGATCTGTATGATCAGCTGATGCTAGCCGCTTCTTGCACGAAACCTGCGGAAAAGGTCTATGAAAAGGCTGATTTAGAAGATTCTGATGAAGTGGAGGGAGATACAGATGATGGTGGAAGTGACGAAGCAGTGGGTGGGCCGAAAATTTTGTCTCAAATGGAGTTTGAAGCGATCCACAAGGACGCGCAAGAGCAAGCATTTGCATTGTTTAAAGTACGCTCAGTCGAAGGCGCATCGCGAGCATCTTATTTTCATAAGCTGAAGCAGCACATCCATGTACAACGTACGACTTTAATCGCTCAACTGCAAAAACGTTCTAGCAAGCATTGCATCAAGGTCTTGACTAAACTTCGTGCCAAATTTCTCACTCGGCCTCTTGCAGCTGGTGCATGGGATACTGCTGCAACAAAAGAAGAAGCTTTTCAGGCCACCTTGCAAGTTTTGGAAGAGGTTTACGAGCAAAAAGCTCGTGGACCTGCAAAAAAAAAAGTATTTTACCAGTTTTTGCGTTGTGACTTGGTAGCGTTCTTTGAAACGCTTTATCAACGGATGGAAGCTAGTCACGAAAAGAAAAAAACGGAGTGGGATCTTATTCAAAAGCAGCTTGAACAGCAACATGCGAGCGAAAACAGGGAGTGGAAACAAGATTTAGAAGAAAAAGGTATTGAGATACAACAGCTTTTTGGAGCGAAAGCACACTTAGAAGACAAGGTAAATTTCTTAGATAATCGAATCTTAGAGGCTCAGCACGCGTCTGAGGAGCAACTCTTGACTATCGCCGCCTTAAAGAATGAACGCAAGAGTTTAAAAAGAGAGAATGAGCGGCTTCAGACAGAGGCGACGGATTTATCAAAGGATCTAGAAAAGACACAACTTCGATTACAGCACAAGACTGATACCCTGACTAAAGTTGAAGCTGAGGCACAAGACATGAAAAAAGAGATGACGGAATCAGTTGAAAGGCTTTATAAAACTCACCAACGTGAGAAAGAAGACTGGATGCGTCGTGCTGCTGATCAAGTTGCAGAGAAGACAATGCTGCAAAAAGAATTAAAAATTGCAGTGTTGAATGCTCAAAAGCGTACACGTGATATAGAGCTGCTAGAAATAGAGCAAAGACAGCTGAGGCAATCATTGAACGTGGAGGTAAACGCACGGGCTCGCCTAGAGAAAGATTACACCTTGCTTTGTGATAAAAATAACAAAAAGGAACAAAAAATTAAGCTGGCAAAGAGCGTCGGAGAGCGCGAGCGAGCTCGACTCGAAACTCGCCTTCAACGCATCCAGGCACATTTAGGACAGCTAGCTGGTGATCGCGAGATCGAAGAAGTGCTGCGCGACTGTGTGTCGCATGTGGTACGACAAGCTGATAAAGAGAAGATCAAGATACTACAAGAAGAACGACGAATGCTACAGAAGCAACTCGGCGATCTTCATGAGAAGATATCAACCTTACCTGACTTTTATATACGGCAGATCTTTTGCGCCCCGGAACCTGTGACAAGTTTCTTCGAGGCTTTGACTTCAGTCGTTAGCAACCCTAGTCAATGATAAAAAACAGCGGAAGTCTACTAATGAAATGAGTTAGAGATCAAAATTGGAAAGATCGTTCAATCTGGCACCTTCATCTATCGAGATGACGGCACCTGCTATGTTCATGGACCTGTTTCGCCGCATCGGGTTGGCAACGAGTGGTGTATCGACCATAATTCCATTCTCACAACTGCGTCTCCCTTCGCTGGTTGGTAGTAAATTAATATTTCGTGGCGCAGGAGATTGATCGAGGTTTGATAAATTTATAGAGCTTGGAGACGTGTAGAACGACGGCACGCGACCGATAGCCTTCCGTCCATTCCGTCGTTCATCCTCAAGAGCTTGCTCACCGCGCAAGTACCTAACTGCCCGTTCCAAAGCAAATTCAACGCGACACATGGTTCGAATCCGCGCAATGACTGGCCAACACGCCCGTTGGCCTGCCAGCAAAATTTCCGGATACGTGTCGGGTGTAGGATTAGCAAGCACTGTTCTTAATAACGTCGTGGCACAAATTTTATCTGTGGGACAGATTGTAATATCTCCTTCGTATTTTTGAGTGATCAAAGGGACGAGTCCAATATCAAGAAATTTAAGCACAGACGTGTTCAAGCCGAACTCGGCGATGTTTTTGATGTAAGCTTTCATCTGTTTCTTAAAGAAGTTCATAAGACCACTAGTTTGCCCATTTCCAAATGCCGTGTGCCCAGATACAATCTTGTAATGAATGTTGACTTGGCTTACGATAAAGTGATTAACGTTAAATAGTTCCGATAAGCGTTCCATGGGCAAGTCGCATTCGATGCTTCCGTCGCTCCATTTAAGGCCCTCACGATAGTATGGAACAATATTTCCATTCGCGTCTTTTGCCAGCAACTCGACAGGACGAAAAATGTTTGGAATTGCACATGATGCCAGAGAAGCCGACCATATAATCACATTTGGGGCCGTGAGGTAATTGAGTAATTGAGGATAGTCGTCAGCACTCAGTGGTGTGACTGTGACGTTTACAATTCGACCAGTTCTGTCGTAAGCCTCTCGAAAAGTGTAGTCACCCATGACACTACGCAAGCAGTCACGTAGAGTCTTTGTATCAAAGACATAGCGTTTCTTCAAGAACCGATTGAGTAAAATAAAAGCATTTCGTAAGACCTCAAAGCTTCCCTGTGATAGCATTTTTTGCCCAGAGGACAAGAACGATGGCATGTATTCAATTTGGTCTTGCTCCGTGATATTATGTCCTAGAAAGCAAAAGTCAATATTGTCTCCATTCAAAAACTCTAGCACCTCGTCATCAGTACGAACTGCTATGCTTCCTGCAATAATTGATCCAGCTGACGAACCAGCAATGACATTTGGAAGTAAATTATTTTCCACTAGTGCTTTAATTACCCCGGTATGATAAAATCCATGCGCTCCACCACCAGACAACATCAAAGCAGATCGACCATAAGCATGACGAGTTTCGCTAAAGAACGCCAACTTATTATCAATCGATAGCTCGTCACTATTCTCTTCGTTTGTCCCGCTCGAGCGTAGCACAACATCCATCGACTGGACAATCGTGTCGAGATAGTCTTCAATGACGTGTTTTGTTCCCACTGAAAAGCATAAGAAATGTATCAATATAGCAATTCCGTTAGTGATAACTGAAGTGATTACCATTGCTAATTGAGTAAAGTTTTGGGTTTCCTAATCCCCAGTGCTTCCTCAGCAGTCCAGCTCGTAGTGAGAACATAAGTCCAATGACATCGTTTTCCAGCTTCAATCTCTTGTACATTTCTGTCTTGTTCATCATTCGCTCGTACAGAAAGAGTCCCGACGCCGGATTTTCCCGCCACTTGTCCATTCCCTCTAGTTTGTCCAATTCTCCAGCAATTGTCTGTCTCTCTTGAAAAGTTTTGACGTTTTCCAGCTGTTGTCGCAATCGTAGTGTACGTCGGCCCTTGACTGTAAGTCGTAAAAATGTATTGCCTAATGCCCGACGAAAGATAGACTGGAGCTCGTAGATGATGTGGAGCATGAAGGTCGCACACAAGTAGCGAGCAAAGACGTCGGGGACCAGCAGTACTCGCAACGATTTAAGCCACAATTCTACAAGATTCATAGCTAAACGGTGAACGAAAGCAAGTTTCTCGCCAGATGTAAGGTACACGCGATGTTTGAGTTGTCGTACAATGCGCCGCACAAGTCTCTCGTGCTGCTCCAGTCCCGTGGCAAAGATCCAGAAGCGCACCCACAGGTATAACAGCGAATGTGCGCCATACCGCAGCCGCATTAGCGCGCTTTGGTGCCGCGTGACCTTCACAGAGCGATCCGTAACAAGCGCGGAGACCATGGGGTTTGAAGTAAAAGTGCGCAGGTAGACCAGCACTCTTTTGCAATGGCAAGAACCATGTGGATAGCAAACTTCAACCTGAAATTGACAATGTAATATATATAGGTATTATTGTCGCGCGCTAATTTTATTGGCTAACTCAGCAGTTAATGCCTGTTGCGTGACTGGGAATGTATTTTTCGGCTTTAAGCACTTCATGAGCGATTTCGCGCAGCTGCTCATCGTGTTTACCTGCTGTCTTGATCTCATTTAAAAGGGACTGAATCTTGCGGGACATCAGGTCGCAATACAGTGTTGTAAGCTTTTTCTCATGCTTGGCCGATTCGATGCCTGCATTAAGCGACGCGGTAGAGCGAGAGATGGTAGCCGTCATGGCAAAAAGTGCAATAGCTGAATCAGCGATCCGCTCGAGCTGCATCTGCTCGTTCACAATCTGCTTGCCATGTTTGCGCAGCAAGAACTCAACAGCATCACCAAATGCAGTTGTGCGCTTCAGCAGTAGATCCGCTGATGCGTTAAGACTCGAGTGCACATCCTTCAGTGGAGAGGGTGAGAATTTACGCTGTAGACGATCCGCAATTTCCTTGGCTGCACCCGATGGATCCGACAGCGGATTCTGCAGCACTTTGCCAACAGCTGACAAACGTTCACCAGCAGTCTGAGCACAAACAGTAAAATAGAATATTATGAGGTGCAGCGATACAGCACACAAAATGTCAAACTCACCTTGATTCCGCTCAGAGCAATCAGCATACGAAGGATTTCGTTTGTCCCTTCAAAGATCGACAAAATACGACAATCACGCATCAGACGCTCAAATGGCCATTCTTTCATGAATCCAGTGCCACCCATGACCTGAATACATTCATTTATGCCCGTAAATGCAACTTCTGATCCATACACTTTGCACATGGCCGCCTCAATTTCGCACGATGGATCACCTCGGTCAATCATACCCGTGGTCATAAATGCCATTGACTCGATAGCGTACGCTTCTAACGCCATCACCCCAAACTTTTTCTGGATAAGTCCAAAGCTCGCCAATGGTGCACCGAACTGCTTGCGTGAATTAGCATGCTCTGCAGCAACCCCAAGTACACGGCGCAGAGATGCGCCAGCACAGGCACCAAGACCGAAGCGACCATTATTCAAAATATTCATAGCCACCTTAAAACCTTCGCCAACCCCTGAAGCACCCCCAGTCTTCATGTCTGGACCACCGCCAAGTACGTTCTCGATAGGAACTTTGCAATTGTCGAAAAAGACTTGACATGTATTCGAGCCACGGATTCCGAGCTTATCTTCTGGGGGGCCACTAGTCACACCTCCGAAAGCTCGCTCGACTATAAATGCCGTAACTTTATCTTTTCCATCAACTTCCGTCTGTGCGAAAACCGTCATAACGTCGGCCCATCCGCCATTACTGATCCAAATCTTTCCTCCATTTAGGATAAAATAGCTGCCATCATCCGACAATGTGGCGCGAGTCTTGATCGATCCGGCATCGGAGCCACTGGAAGGCTCTGTCAGTGCAAAGGCCGCGATGTGCTCACCCGTTGCCAATTTGGGCAGATACTTGGCCTTTTGCGCTTCGTTACCATTAAGCAATATGCCCTTTAAACCAATAGACTGGTGTGCCATGACTGTAACAGCCAGACTCCCGTCAGTGATCTCCTCGCATACACGCGCATAGCCTGTGTTTGACAGGCCGAGCCCTTCGAACTCTTCGGGGATTTGCAGACCAAATAGCCCAAGCTCCTTCATGTCATTTAATACCTCTGATGGAATTTCTTTCGTCTCGTCGATGGAACGTGAATCCACAGTATTAAAAAACTTACTGACAGGGTCCACAAGCATCTGAAGCGTCTCCATCTCACTCTCCGAAAGTTTCGGGTATGGGAAAGCTCGCTTTGTGTTGGTAATGCCAAGAAAGAGTCCACGAGTGTAAGACACATGAGCAGCTGCCTCAGCTGCAGTTTGCAGCGAACGAGGACCATGCTTCAACACAGTGCGGTGGCATGAGCGAAGAAGTAAAGATCGCATCATCTTGCTGACGAAAAGATGTCTTGCTTATTTGACGAAATTTATTGTCATATTTCGTCGATCGTACAACAAAAGCTCACACATATTGATATTATGACATACAATGACTTTCTTATCTACACCAGTGGCTTAATTTCAGCTATTAAGTTTAGCTAGACCTGTTTAGCATTATGCATCTGTCCGGTAGACACAAGGTTCTTGCTCTGCATTGCACACAAAAAATGATTTGAGCGGTCACGCGTTAAGGATTTGAAAGCACTTTCAAAATATTTCAAATTTGACATGAAAATATCTGAACCTAATTGCGCTACGTCAAATATTCAAGCTCACAAAATAACTATTGACCCGTATCCACCATGTGAATATATGTTTTGTGCACAATTCAGTTAAATGTGACCAGCTGTCTCGTGCTTGGTCGTATTTTACTTCTTTTGCGAGCATTTCAAATGCTTTCCGGCAGCTTTGCAATTTGACCTTTGGGAAGCAGCAACTCGAGTTCAAACGGAACATGTCGTGTCAATGCGAACACATTCTCCTGCGTAATACATGATGATGCTATTATCTCGCTACAACTATGGTACCGCTGAGCATAGGTATTTGGTAACGAGATTGCCGCACGCATTCACAAGGAACTCCGACAATAAGAGCCGCATTGATAGAGCGTACAAAAAGTAGGATCGTGTGCTCATGCCTGCTTCAAGAAGTACAGCTAGCATTACCACAAGCACTGTCGTCTCGCGAACTCCTATCCAAATGATTCTGTCGTGATTTCAGTTTCGAACCAGGGCAAACTCCCACAATATCTCAGGTAAAGGTACTTGGCCGAATACTGCAAAAAGCCCTAGTGTACACGCCAGTCCACCAAATCCTGCATAGTTAATAGTGATGACTCAGCAGTACCGTCACTTCATGACAAGGATGATCATCTTTCTCGTCTTCAGGGTCAGTCCAAAAGCTATCACAGCGTCGGACTCGCTCCAAAAACGCTTCTGTTGTCTGATAGTCAAGGTTTCATTACTCACCACAGCTCTTCCGAGAGAAAAACGCGTGAATTATGATTTTTGACTTCCAGTTGACCATTGCGGCGTTCTAGACACGCAAAAACATTTCACGTTGCCAAATACCTCCTCTACCTTTGCCCTTTTGAGCCATTTGAAACTTTTGACAATTTTATCGATCGATTTGTCGCAAGACGCCCTGATATAGTATCCGTATTTGGCGTTTTCAGCTCTCCAGCGTGCTACTTACTTTTGAATAGTCGCGCCGTTCAAGACTTTATGAGGCATCACAAAACCCGAGACGTTGTAATCAGCAACCAACAACCCTGGGATTTGAGTCCCACCTAAACAAAATGCTTATTTAAGGGTCCAGTCCCTTCAAATTCGACTCCCACGACGTACGATAAACCCCAGTATATTTTAGAAGACCACTTTGCGCCTATAAGATCAAGCGCTTTCTTGCTAGGTATTCGTCGTCCGCTGTTGCCTGATTGTCCAACCCTTCGTATCCCTCAGCCGAGAGTGAAGGGGGCACACAAGGTGCAAACGTTTGATGCTACCGCAGATAAAGTTCCGCGAATATTGCGAAGATGCTTGACAACTTAGAGCTTTCTATATTCTTCGCCATTATGCTTGAGGTTCATCGCCTCTGGCGTGCTCTTAGAGCGTGAATCTACTGACCCTCCATCTTGATGCGCATCAATAAAACGCCAGCTATATTTCAAGGTATCGTGGACGCAGAAGATCTTGGTGCAAGTTGCACTCGTTCGGGCACACCTCGGTAGAATGGTTATCGTTACCGCTTTCGGTCGAAAATCAGACACCATTGCTGTGTTTATAGCTCTTGAACACAGCCCGCCGATTGCTGTCAACTTTAACGTGTATACAAAACCTTTGAGAGCACTAGATATGCCTGGTTAAGTGGTGCAAACACCGGCAACATCTGTCAGATCGAGTCCGTCCACTTTGTAGGTGCCACTTCTTCCAAGTTTTCACGTAAGTATCCAATCTTGATCGAGGCCTTTTAGCTTTGATTTAGCAAATAAGACGCACTGTAGCTCCATTTCGAGCAAGGTCGAATATATGGATAACAAAATTTCATTTGTTTAAAGGGCAAGATCTACCCGTTTTCGCCCTTAAATACCTAAACGATAAGCATCAGCGGGGCTCACCATAAGAGCCGTCCATTCCTCCACAAGGGCCTGCTACAGGCGTATTCTTTGAGCGAGTGATGGTCCCCAGGCGAGGGATTAACGCTATCGGCTTCCTGATGTTCACTTTTCAGATCTCATCATGACTCAATAGCTAGTCAAGCTTGTCTCTTTCTCATAGACGCAATTACTTGAGCGCTTCATGTCCCATCCTCTCAGAGGGTATCTGCCCTTCCACAACTCGGTATTGGGGTTGACTACATGTGCTATCAAGTGCAACGGGGTTACCATGCATCTTGCACAGAGGAATCTTTGACTCTGTAAGTCGGAGGACCTCTACCGTAACTAAATGTCTCGTTAGCTTTCCTCTTGCAAGAAAGCGTATATGAATGAGCTATGCCACTTATACTAATCAAAATGTTTTCTATATCTTCAATAACACTGTAACGAAACAAGTACTTTGATTTTGTGGTGCTAGCCCTTACCCACCTGATCCTTCTGTATTTAGTGCAATAAGGTACAATTGTGCGAAGCACACGTTACAATTTGGTGTCGTTGTGATATTCATAAGTACCTAGTAATCGGGATAAACTTTTTTGATAGTTTATTGAAAAAAGGAGTTCGTGGTTCACGTAATCTCGTCAGAAATTAGGAAGAGCTATATTAAATGAGATAGTAAAAGGAATTAATTTAGTTTTTTGTCTGGGATGCATCGATATTAGATATATGGACGCTTAGGATAGCAGAGCAAATTGAGCACCTTGTTGCGATAGAGGCTCTTGATCCACTCCTGGTAAGAGTGCGCGGACCCAACCTCCGCGTCTTTGTAAAAGCGGACTTATTTATTTGAAGTTCTTTATGTGCAGAGTGCGCGCAATCCGTCGCAAAAATCGATTTCAGTTCGTGACGTGAGGGTGGCAGCCCACGTGAATCCGGCATTCAGAGTATCATCATCCTCCTCAATGTTGATATTCCTTGCCTTATGGATATTCACAGTTACGCCAAAATGCAGATTTTGGTCCAAATAAGCGTGTATGTTTTAGTGAAACAGCATAGTGACTAATAGTGTTATTCCAATCCTGGTAGAAGCGTACGAAACCAGTTTTTTTACATTTGCTAAAGCGGACACCAAATAGTAAAGCTGCATCTGTGCAAAGTATCCGATAATTACCTCGGTAGCTCATGTCGTTAGTCCCATGACCAAGTCGTGGAAGGACTGTATTCTTTGCGAGGATGGGTTATGAAATTTTTGACCACCTTTCCTCCGGACAAATAGACCAGCTTGATATTTTTTGTCAATTTCGGGTAAGGAAGGGATCAGGGAACTGGCAGTTAAAGCGCCGAAAACAGGAATTGCATGTCTGTGGGTGCTCACCAGCGCTGATAAAGCCCCAAAGGGCGCCGATGGAGGAACAGATGGCTCCCATCGTGAGGTCGATGATATGAGCGTTCTGGCGTTTGATGATCGGGGCGCAGAGATTTTATCCTCGGGCTGAGGGAAGTTGAGATTGCCATATATTCGGACTTGCTTTGTTCGGAGTTATAGCAAGTCGATCTCCATGCTAAGAGGTCGCGCGCAGAATTGGACACTTACGTGCAATATCTCGGTGAATGAGGCGCTCCCATCTTAGGACGACTTGAAGCGACAAATGTTGCGGATGTTTGCAATACCTAACTAGCGTATCGGGTGAAGTCCTTGAGTGCACATTAAGGTTGTTATGAACTGATGGACGTACATCCAAATTTTGGAGCTTTAATCGCCGGAATGGCGTCAGTTTCATTCCGAAAGTGGTAGCGGTCACCCTCCGACCGAGTGCCGACCACAACGATACTTTCAATATCTTCCCTCTCTTTTTGAGGAAGCAGCGACGTCGCTTTAAGTGCAAAGTATAGCTTTTGTTCCGAGAAGAGCGAATGGAGTGCTGAAAATATAAGCTTGATAAGCCCATTTACACCGGAATCATGGCTGTATTTAACTTATTATTAGCATGCACAACTTTGCCATTGCCGTTAGCCTTTCTGACACCAAAAGCTAGTGCTTAGTGAAGATTTACTTTGAAGCAAGCCCGTTTCTTGCTTTGCAAAGGAAAAGCTTCAATTACGTTCATCCGTTCTCCTGCTAAGGATCATTGTCCTGTGATACGAAATTAATCTCGAAAACTCAATCAATTTTATGACGCAATCCGAAACTCGGTGTGACACGCGGATGGCTCTCTGGTCGCCTCGTTGTAATATTTCTTCAACAAGTATTAGAAATGAACTTGAGATTAGCTGTCTTACACCTTGCACTATGTGCTATGCAATTGTCCCCGATGACAAATTTATTTATTACACACTGCAATCCCTGTTTCTTCTCCAAACCACACCGTGTTGGAGACCTCAGCGTCTTGCACTTCCTTGCTCATATCCCAGAGTGAGTATGTTTTTGGCTTTATTAAAAGCTTATATCGGAGGTGAGGAGGGATAGCTTACAACCACAAATACTTCTACTACTTTGTTCACTCCATTCACAAGTGAACACTTCTTTCGCCAGTCACTCTGCGGTGTTTTACGGCTCTGCTCGGTGGGCCCACCAAACAATAGTTCTACCTCAGCATTAGTGTCACATCGCCTGGCATAACAGCGAATTCGATCGCCTGGTGATGCAGCGGTTCAGTCCATGCACAAACATATCTCGACAATATATTCATTTATAGACGTACAAAGCATGATTAGTTTTTGTGGATAGTTGTAATAAACACTTGCGAGCGGTGCTCGAGATCATTTGTCGAAATCATCTATTCGTCGGTGTAGACAAGTGAGTCTTTAGCGCCGAGAAAATCCCGTCTGAAAAGTAAAACCTGCAAGCATATCTCGCGTAAGAACAGACCAGTGTCGACTGACCGATTTCTTTATCCAAAGGACTTAGATAGAAATTGACAAGCTACCTGCACAAATGTAGAATATGCTAATTTGATCCGTATTCTCATAGATCTCCTGATACAGGTATCAGATGGTGTTGTGGTGCGACGAATGAGGTGGTCAATAAAGTTGTAGAAACAAAGCCACATGCGTCCCCTAATTTGGGCACTTCGCAAACAATTGCACGTTGTCTGTGATGCGTCATCCTTTGCAATAGCATACACGTTGCCTAGGTTTACGCTAATGAGAATGAGCGCATGACCACCTTCGAGACTTGCTAGCTGGCGGCTGCAGAGAAAACTATCAGTTCCGTGATAAGAAACTACTTACGTTGAAAACATGCTTTAGGCTGTGCCTACTTGGCTCGAAGCCGTTTGTAATCGATAGGCACATTAATTTCTAGTGAAGATATCCAACAAAACAGCATGGTTGGCTGTATTTTGATCAATTTTCTCGACCTAGTTGACAATTTGTATCGACTGCTACTGAAAAACAGCGATACCCTTCGAACTATGATGGGTACTCTGAGCAGGATTCTTTGAATGGTTGATTTTGGTACGCGAACTAATTGGTCTTAGTCATGCTGGGAAAGCAGACAGAACTATCTGAGTCGCCAAGCAGATCTATGATTATCGCGCATTTTTCAGCCGCGGTAGCATAAAACATTTGAGCCTTTTGCGCTACCTTTGCTCTCGGTCTAACAATATGAAGTGCCGGGCTCCCTTGCAATAAAGTCCACAACTCTCGCGGGAAAATGTCAGGCCCAAATAGATCAAAGAAAGCTCAATGGCTTAGAATTGGTCTAGACGGTACTTCATGAAGGCTGTGATCAACGATACTTAGCCTATCGAAGAAAGGATCTTAGAGAAGGGGGGGGTTATAGCCCACACTAGTAGCAGATTGCATTTATGCTGAGAATTCAAGTAAAGTTTGAGTTTTTGACATGTGTGGAAAGATATTTGGCCCTGAGTTCATGCTTGATATGTCAATCCAGGCATGCGCGATGCAAACACCACGAACCATGAATTGATTTAGATTAACAAAAGCTAGGTGCCAAGAAATTGTTTTGTGGAGATTTGCAAAGAAATATACTTACCTTTATCGAAAAAAGTGACTATAGCGTGGGCTCAATGCTATGGTATCTTTCGGTCAGACATGGGCGATGCTTGAACGTCATTGCTAGATACCACGAGGAGTACTCGAAAATCCGAAGCCGCAGTAAGCCGAGGCCGTTTGTTCATCGCGGTCTCTATTATGTAGCACTGTTGAGAAAGGATGGGTCAACTGTAAGTTGTGATCTCCAAAGTGTATGTCTGGCGGGACGGTTAAACACGATTGTGAGCTGTTACCTCTAATGCTAAGACCGCAAGTAGTGGAAGCAACTGGATGTCACAATCTTTCATGCCATAGCCGGAGAAGTTGAAGGATCACTATACGTCGTGAGTAGAATGGCTAAGCCATTTAGATACAAAGGATAGTTTATCCTCGTCACACGACATCGTCTTACATCAACAGCGGTTAGGGAATCTCGTCTCCTCCGTGAGGGATGATCTTAGATACAAAATTCTGGTAATAGTGCCGAAACGTATTGCAATCATACCTCGCACTTGGGGAGGAAAAAGCATCGTCTCACCCGCTTGCAGTTGTTTGGAGCCAGCTTCAGTTAAGCAAACATTTGACTTACACGTCCATTATTGCTTGAGTTTGCGAAGTACAAAGACTGACCGGAACATCGAGGTGGAAAACATATCACCGTCACTTCATGCTGCAGATAGACCTGTTTGTCTTCATAAGACAGCTATTACAGCTACTGAACAAGTATCGAGCTCACAACAAGGTCGCCTCCAGTCGCAAGTAAAAACCCGTTGTGATGATAGCCCCTGCTTCTTCTCCAGGAAAGATAAAGTCCGAGAGTATAAATCTTCGTATGCGGCAATAAAACTAGGGCGATCTTGCCAATCTGAAACCTCAATCTCCCATTTGGCTATTTTTCAAACATAGTATCCATCTATCCACTCCAAGGTCCAACTCGCTGATTATAAGTTGGACATCTTCGTGAGTTCTGCACGGTGGGGATCTCAGTACGATCTACAGTACAGGGAAGGCACGGAGATTTAAACGCGTACAGAGGTTCGGCCGGCTGTCACCAGGGCTGCGATCAATAACATCGAAGTTCGCTTGCCACCTCACCTTTTTTGGGTGTCGGTCGCGGGAGTAGGCACAGAAAGTGACGTGAACTTCGCGCGTAGTGGGCGTTTATCAGGCGTTCACGTTCGCACAATGTCTTGATTGAAGAGCTGCAATCTATGTGTGGTCCACATCATCGTGAGAAGGGTTATGCACTGTACTATTATTAACATACACTGCACTCTTCTTTGCAATAGTGCTTTACAATGTTGCACGATTTTTACGAAATATACGTTGGAATTGTGAGTACGAGGAGGTATTCGAAGTATTGACATTAAAATTACATAGAGAAGGCTCGTTTCACGTGAAGCAAAAATAGAAAGTTTGATGTTTATATACTAATACATTTAGTGTCATTTTTTAATGAATGAAGTTTAGTATGTTTCACTCATGAAAAATCAGAGCAACTCTGGCACGCTAGAAACCGTCGGTTCTGCAACTCAACCTCTGTGTCATGTCGGTTCGGAGTACAGCTTAGCATAGCTCTAAAACACGGTCTGTTCGCACGAAGCTGTCACTGGCATCCAAGAATGAACCAGCTTTCTAGCATGCTCTTGGTCGTGAAGTGCATTTAAATAAGCGGTCCGTGTGCAACACCTGAGGCCGAAGTATTGAGAGAAGATAGAGAATTTCAAGTTGCTGATCAACATTCTAACATCCATGAACTTCAGCCACGGGGGTGAGAAAAATAGAAAGCTCTAAGCTGTCAAACATCTCCGCACGTTAGCACAAAACGTCTACACCCTGTGTGCCTCCTTCGCTCTCAGCTAAGGGATATGAAGGGTTTCTTTATCAAGCAACAGCGGACGACGATCACCTAGCTAAAAAGCGCTGAGTCTTAGTAGGCGCAAAGTGGTCTATTGAAGAAAAAACAAAGAAATGTTCTACCTCGAGGAAGTCGAATGCTGTGGGACTGGATAGCGGCGCGACTATTCAACAGTGAATAGTATGGTGGAGAAAGGAAAATGCATGTTACGGATACGGTTTCAGGGCGTCTTGCGACAAAGCCATCGGTAAACCTGTCGATTCTTTTTAAAACCCTAGATATTGGTAATGGTTTTTGACGGCGTGAAACGTTGTTGCAATTTAGCGTGGCTAGAACGCCATAACGGTCGACTGAAAGCCAAAAATTATATTGAACACGCTTTTCTTCTGGGCCGTCTGCGGTGAGTAATGAAACTATGACTATCGACGCTGCGATAGCGTTTGTGTAGAGCCTGAAGAAGAGGTAGTTAATTCATCGTTGCCACGAAGTGACAGAGCTGCTGAGTCATCACTTCCGTGTGGCGGGTCTTTCGTGCGATGTTGTAAATCTCCGTAGAAAGCGGCAAGAAAAATCATTCACTTGTGGAGAATAGAGCAACCAAGGCAGTCTAAGGTTTGCAGTTTGATCTCGCTCACTACCTCCGGCTAAAGAGCGTTCTGAAATGGAGTGACTATTCCCGAGGGTCATGTTCATGAGTTTACAAGACGGTGAGGTCATTAAAATAGTACGGCTGATTCCAGAGTAGAGGCCCTGTTTGTCATTTGTCATAGTAAAATCTATCATTTAGGATAATTGCAAAGCACTGAGCGCGATGAAAGAGTGGGACAGCTTTTGTCAGAATTCCTATGAATCCTTCTTCTTTAAACTGTAGGAAAAATCACGACGAGGCGACGAGTGATTCACCATGCGTCTTGTCCCCAGATAAGGAGTTCGTCATGAATTTTGGGTTTTTGCAGAGTCAGATATTGCGACACTCCTACCAAGGAAGCAGTGTGGCATCATTTATGCTTACGTACGTGCAACGCACATTCAGGTCCAGCAAAAGACAAGAAATCTTCAGGCCT